TACACCTGATACTAAACTATTATTGAAATACTTGCAATGTTTGTTAAATATTTTTGTATTCTGTAGCATCTTGCAAGATTTTCAAATAAAAGAAATAGTTCAAATAAGTACCTAGTTTTGTTTTCTTCATTGGTCCCCAGCCTAAACTTAAATTTGCCTTTATTTCCAAGATTAAGTTTTGATAGGTATAATTTAATAAATATTTCACTCGTTGTCTACAATATTCGACTCGATAGTGGAAACGGTAAGCATCTGGTATTCATTTGTGATCAGGAGATAACAATGGTTGTAATTCTATAGCAAAAATGGTTTACTCTCTACAGGAAAGAATCGAAATAATTATCCTTTATGAAGAGGTTGGAAAATGCGCACGAAGGGCAGCATTTAAATGAAAGGCATCCTAATTGTAATGTAAGTCATATTTATACTCTCGATTTGGTAGCAAAATTTTTGGAAACTGGTTCGGTGAAAAATAGGAAAAGAACCGACGAGTACTAAATGAAGAAGCTCTAATTGAGGTTTTGGGAACATTTGTTACCGTGTCAACTAGCTCCATACGAATAGTAGCAGAACAGATGGGAATATCACGCGAGACTGTAAGAAGAGCACTGAAAATGCATACATTTCATTCCTGTAAAATGCAGTTACTTCAAGAGCTCTACGAAGATGATTTTGATAAAAGAATAGAGTTTTGTAAAACCATGTCTGATCAAGTTAACGCCAACCCCAATCTTCTGCTGAATATCTGTTTCAGTGATGACATTTTATTTTATATTTTTTTCTAAATGACAATGTAATAAACACAAATGTTGGTACTGGAGCAATGAACACCAGGTATATTATTCAAGAAGGGCATACGCAATTATTGGTTCTTTATTTAATGAAGGAAACTTGCCAGGCGATCTGTCCCTTAATATGCTTGCAGAGATTATTGATCCTCTTATAAACTCAGGAGCTAGAAACAAACTGATGCAGAAGGTAATTTAGTTTTACAGGAGATGTGTTACATTTCCAGCAGGACGCTGCTACACCTCATTTTTTCTTCTCGTCTGACAGAGATTTCCAGGTCCTTTGATTAACAGAAGGGGAGCAATTGAATGGCCCCCAAGATCACCTGATTTAACTCCTTTAGAATTTTTTCTTTGGTGACACCTTAAATTCGTTGTTTATGAAACACAACCTGCTGATATTGATGATCTTAAAAGGAGAATTACACAAGCATGCCGGTCAATTTCCGGTAAAAGTTTTCCGAAATGTTAGAGAGGAGTTGGGAAACAGACTTTTTACTGTTTACAGTACAATGGACAACATTTTGAAAAGTTTTTAAAATAGTGTACAAGTAGATCTTATGTGTTCTATTTTTAAAATTTCTTGTGCAAATTAAAAGTTATTTATTTTGTAAAAGTCACCTTACCAAAAAAATAAAAAGTTAAACATGTAGACTTGATATTCCTCCTGTTATTTAACTTGATAGAATAATTTTTGTTTAATAAATTAGGGTACCATTGGGAAGATAATTAAACGCCCTTTAAAATGATGTGCCTCTTGACCCCTTTTCCCATTTAAGATTTAAGGGTAACAACTACCCCTTCTAGGAGGTTGAGCCACGATGAGTGTTAAAAGTATTTATTGTAGGTGTCCTCCTTGAAAATAAAATTGACGGGTTTTGGCGATTTTTCACATTATTTAATGGAAGAAAGATATTTAATTTGGGAAGTTTTCGGTGTCACCCTGTATGTATATCACTTGTTACATAAACACTCATAAAGAAAAAAATTAATACAAAAATTTAAAGACTACTCGTTAGATGAATTTATAAATAATTTTTAATATTTCAATCAATTTTTACGTACCTATATGTGAGCATTGTATTTCGTTTATCTATGATATGATGAATGTTTTTTTGAATGCCTATGTTGTATTCAGCTAACCTTATGAAATTTAGTTATTTATTAATATAAAACTAATTTTGTAACATGTCTCATCTCATCGGAAGATAATCTAAAGAGAATAATATAAATGTATGTATAGTTGCCCCTTAACGCCAACGCAAATAATTAGACGTCCCTGGCCGCACTAGCTATACTTAAATTATCTCAACTAATACACAATCTTGTTTAATTGTGTATTCCTCTTATTAAAAAAGTATTCGTAATTTACATTTAATTATATGTATATTTTTATTGAATTAATAAAAAAAACTGAGTACAATCCTGGAAACACTCAACTGCGCAGACTCTCCGCCTCCCCGGCAGGTTCTCCTTGTGTAAACGTTTTCTGAAATGACAGTTCCTATCTCCCCTCCTCTCATATCTATGGTTACACGTCTCGCTGGATTGTCTCTGCAGGGGTGGGAAACTGGTATGCGCAGGTCAAGGATCAATCAACCACGTCCGCGTGGCGCTGCAGTCGGGTGGTGGGGTAGGTGGTGGGAGTGTAAATGACAGGTGAATATTGATTTTGGGGGGTGTCATGGCGTCTTGGCTTAAACCAAACGTGTTTATTTATATTGGTGACTTGGTTGTGTTCAGTTGTGTTTTCATTTCCAATTTGCTTAATTGATTTAGTTGACCACTGTTAGTGAGCTTGTTTTTCCATTATAAATTTGTGCGTTTTGAACTGTTATCTTGTGCTTTTTCCGCTGTTATTTCGTGCCCAAAAAAATTAGCAGTAGAAGTAGTATAATTAGAAGTAAAAGTACTAACAAAAAAAAAACAACAAAAAACAAAACCCAAAAAAATTAGCAGTAGAAGTAGTATAATCAGAAGTAAAAGTATTAAAAAAACAAAAAACAAAACCCAAAAAAATTAGTACCTAGTAGAAGTAGTATAATTAGAAGTAAAAGCACAAAAAAAACAAAAAAAGGTAAAGTTGTAGGAAAGGTATGTACTTAACGCGCATCCTGGCCGCGCATATGTAAACATCGTTATATTTATCGCGTATTTGTTTATATTTATTGATTTATTTATTTATTTGTTATTTTACTTAGATATTATTTATTAATAATATAAAAGTAGCAATCTGATAACGTTTATACAGTTATAATGTGTAAAAAAAACAATTATTTTATATGCGCGGCCAGGATGCGCGTCAGTACATACCTTTCCTACAACTTTACCCAAAAAAAAAAAACAAAACCCAAAAAAAATTAGTAGTAGTGGTGGTGGTGGCAGTAGTAGTAATAGTATGGTGTTCGTTTTATGATTTTTTTTCAGTGAGAAACAGTTGTGACCTTTCTGGAATATGAAGCAGCTTAATCAGATATGTTGGACTTCTTTTTGAGAAGGAAAGTTAGTAATCTACTCATTTATTTTATACTTATACTGTGTATTTTCTGTTTCATGATGTTTGGGGTTGCAAAGCTGTATCGTCGAAGAAGAAGCAGACTAATAATACATGTTGGACTTCTTTTTGAGAAGGAAAGTTAGTAATCTACTCATTTATTTTATACTTATACTGTGTATTTTCTGTTTCATGACGTTTGGGGTTGCAAAGCTGTATCGTCGAAGAAGAAGCAGACTAATAATACATGTTGGACTTCTTTTTGAGAAGGAAAGTTAGTAATCTACTCATTTATTTTATACTTATACTGTGTATTTTCTGTTTCATGACGTTTGGGGTTGCAAAGCTGTATCGTCGAAGAAGAAGCAGACTAATAATACATGTTGGACTTCTTTTTGAGAAGGAAAGTTAGTAATCTACTCATTTATTTTATACTTATACTGTGTATTTTCTGTTTCATGACGTTTGGGGTTGCCAAGCTGTATCGTCGAAGAAGAAGCAGACTAATAATATATGTTGGACTTCTTTTCGAGAAGGAAAGTTAGTACTCTACTCATTTATTTTATACTTGCCGCGTTTGAGAATCCATATCGGATGCATTTTTTACATCTCAAGCGTTTTTTATCCACATCAGACACATCTGTTCCATTACATTTATGTATACTGAATGACATGATCAAAGATTTATTACATCTCAGATGCATTCGATGTGGATTCTCAAACGCGACATATACTGTGTATTTTCTGTTTCATGACGTTGGGGGATTGCAAACCTGTATCGTAGATGTTGGACTTATTAAAAAATAAAGTATTCCTCGGACTTATAATTTTTTATTAATCCATTTATTTTAATGAGATTGTACTTATACTGTCTTTCTTTTTTCACAGCTCAAGTTTTTCACAAAATGATGGACAGTGTTGTATCCTGGAATATGTAGCAGCCATCCAGCTACTTCATACATAATACAATTTTCATATACATTACATTTTTTAAATATTGGATTTGTATTATATATATTCTTTAATAAATTTATTTTTTGAATATTCTTGTTTTTTTTATCTAAAAACTGTTAGTCAAATTAAGATTTGTTCACACAAACTGCATTTTTGCTTTATTATAGCGATATTCGCTATAATAAAGCAAAAATGCAATTTGTGTGAACAAATCTTAATTTGGCTAACAGTTTTTAATGCGGATAATTTTTACTGTCAAATTTGAATAGCCCCGCGCTTTTCTTCTCTTCTTCTTTTTATTATTTTCTCTTCTTTCATATGGCCTCTTACTAGACAAGGACTTAATTGAAAAAAAATCAACCACGTCCACCAGGTGCCGCTAAAAACTCTATCATCCTTTTTTAACATGGGAGTTACCGTTCTAAGAGTAAGTGTTCTGTGTGTCTCTGCTCGGACTGTTTTGACCGCGCATGCGTTTTTGAAGTGTTATGCATATTGTATTGGCTTTTTAGACCATACGGATTACGGAACGTATGCAATCCCAAATTCTTTATTTATATGTGAACAAATGTCTCTTATTCTTGTTTTATTTGTAAATTAAAGCAATTTTAGAATTATTATTTTTTTAATATTCTGTTTTTATTTATTCCATTGAAATGTAATGATAATGATAAACATATACATGCAAATGTTATTTGAAGCTGAGCTTTCAAAAGGAACTTCATTATTATAATAAACAATAAACAAAACACCTTTATATGTGTTCTGGTTTTCCAACAATTTCAAACAGTCGGGGATTTTTTGCCTTTACGCATACGGTCCGGCGCAGTTTCAAAACAGTTTTCATTTTGAGAACCAGAACAAACCTATAACCTAAATGAAATGTTAAAAACATAATCAAGGTCGGTGTCGGTGGTCGTCGTTGAGTGTTTTTTTCATAGATATAAATCTAAGTATTAATTAGTAAAAATATTTCAACATGAAAACAATCATATTTCAATTTCTTATAATTTTTATTGTGAGTACTCTCATATGTTTATTTTCTAAATATTTTTGGTTTAAGTTCTGACAATGAATATTAATTTTTAGTACTCATCCTCTGCAGAATTTTCAACAGAAGATTGCTGGGCTCTCGGATTTCATAAAGCAGATTTATTGTGCTCATCTTGTGATCAACTTACCAAATTTGAACTGGATGATCTTCTGTATGTATAAAGTAATTATTTTGAATTATCTTGATACAATTTTATTTGTAGAAGCCACTGTAAAGAGTGTTGCCATCGTGATGAAGTGAATTCAACAGAAAAGACGTATTATAAAGCAGTTTTAGAAGTTTGTACCTGTAAATTTGGTGCCTATCCCCAAATTCAAGCATTTATTAAAAGTGAGCGACCTGACAAATACCCAAATCTACAAATAAAATATGTCAGAGGCTTAGATCCAATTATTAAGATGTATGACAAAGATGGACATTTGCAAGAAACAGTTGCTATTGAAAAATGGAACACAGATTCTGTAGATGAATTTTTAAGTACTCATTTAATTAAGTTAAGTGATGATGATTTTTTACGTACTAATATGGTATAAATATTAATAAATTAAATATTCTTACATCATGGTTTATTTGATTTATTTTATAAATACCACACTGAATGTACAGAGTGAAGCAACATTTTTAAATCTCCAAGTATGCGTTTTCACCTTTGGGGTTTGGTGAAGGTTTTATAATGGATTTTATTTTTTTCCTAGTGTTACACTCGACATTGTATTCGAACTGTCATACTTGTCGAAAGTATATGCTACTGGTGTGCTACTGTCAAATATTTGAAGCTACACTGAACAAATCAAAAGCGATTGGTGCAGAACACTTACACCTAGTGCAACAAATAAAAGGAATTCGTAGGGGGATTTTTGAGATTTGTTTCCGAATTTTCAAATTATTCCAGATTTTTAACAATTGTTTTATTGCTAAACCAATATTGGTTATAAATGACATACATACAGTTGAGACTTGGCAGTCAAGGATACCCTAATCTTTATTGTAATATTGCAACAGCAAAAAGAAGTGAAATTTAAACTACAATCACCTGGTACAGATTTCTAAACCTCAATTCATTTTACCCATTCATATATTTCATTATTTAATGTCTGCTTATTCCATAATCTCAAATGCTGTTGAGTATTTTAATCCTGCATTTTTTCACCGACCACTCATCTATTCTAAATTCGATATTTTCACACTATCAATAAAGATACAAAAAATGTTTGCCTCCAATTTCCTTTTTCCTCATAATGTTCAACCAGGGTAAGCTCATGACCAAAATACTGGAGGTTCAAATGACAGATCTCAACTTTCAATGTAGAAAAGTATGATATAACCTTTCTAAAACCACCTAATATTTTGGCCAGGAGCTGGCACTGTGTTCAAGTTACTTTATTTTAAAATAGGTATTTAGATTTAACAAGCTCACTATTAAATTTGAATATCATTTCTGTGTGACTATGAAGATATCTCTAGTCTTCATATGTGTGACAGGTATAACTTTTTACCTGTGTTGCGGTTCATGCCTTTAATGGTATGTGTGTAGATTTTTTATAAAAACGCTACCTGTCCATCAGAGGGACAACTTTAATCTAAACTTATTGTCAAATACTTGCATATGAAGGTGACTTTTTTAGCTTATTTTCGTACATGCCTCCATGGCCACAAATATGCCAAGAGGAAAATAAAGATATCAGTGTAAATAGCAAAATATGTAACTTTTTTATATTAATTCTCATAAAAACAAATTCCATTTACATAAGTTCAAGGGTTCTAATTTAAATTAGGTTTTTAGCTCTCCTGTAAAATTTTCCTAAATGGAGTTACGTACTTTGCTAATTACACTGACGATATATTTTCTAGATAACTCAAAACAATATTTGATTTTTTTTTAACAAAAACTAAGCATTTAATAAAATAAAAACAGAACTTCGGATAGAGTACCTATGTATGAACAAAATTAATACAATAATTAAAATTTTTATTACTTGTCTGCAGCATGAGACAAAAAGACTAAAAACTGTCTTACATCACTTACAACCTTATTCCTACAATTAAAAAATAACAGAAGTATTGATGATTTTCATACCACACATAAGTTAAAATGATTACATGCTAAAACCAGCATGTGCCACAATCACGATGTTAAAAGTATGTGATTAGTTATTAGCACTAGAAAAGACATTCACTTTTTAAAACAAATTTTATTAGGTAATCAAAATATAAAAATTATATTTAATAGGAGTTGAAGATCAAATTCCTTCATGCCTTATTAAAACTCATCCAATAGATTAATGCTCTTTTGATGCCATATGTCTTAACAAATTATTAATAAATTTGTCAATTTTCCTAACATCTTGGGCTATTTCTGTCTTGAACTGCAGACACTAAAAAAAAGTTGTTTTCAATCATTTTATATTTGTCTATCCAATACACTTACAACTACATCGTCAGTCATTTTCAGACTTAATTGATTTTTTGAATGTGCATATTTCATAGTATATCTAACTTTTGTAGGAGACTGCAAATACAGTTTTTCTGCTGCTTTTTCGAACTCTTCCCATGATTTTAAGTAAGTCATATTTTATTTTTGACACATTATTTTACTATATAAATAAATAGGTGTACTACTTTCACAAACGTGAAACGTGTTTTTCGAAAGTGATGACCAATGAACTGGAGTGGGGTAGAATGCTTGTCAATAGACTTGATGTGCGACTCTATGGGCAAAGATAGGTTACTTTTCATCTCACTCGGAAGTATTTAAAATAACCATTTTCTATTTCACTTTGTTATTGTCTGATCCACCAGCCTGTGGATTGAACAATAACAATGTGAAACAGAAAATGGTTATTATAAATACTCCCGAGTGAGATGAGAAATAAAAATGGCTGCGCCCATCGAGTCGCATCTTGTTCAATTGATACAATATGCACATTAGCTTTCTACCCCACTCCATTTCATTGGTGATGACTGGTGATATGACTATTGACACTTTCCACCAGTGTTGCCAGGCCCTATCAACCGAAAATCGGTAGAATTATCGAGAAAACTCGGTAGATCTCAGCAAAAAACGGTAGATTTCAAAAATCAAATGAAATTTGTAGAAAACTAAATTTTTCATACTAAAAAGTAACAAAAAAACCTACTTCAATTACTTCGTCTTCTAAAAAAAAAGGTCCTCGGCCAGAAAAGTCTATATATAAATGCTGCGTTTGAGAATCCACATTTTTTACATTTCGAGCGTTTTTTTATCCACATCGGACACATCTGTCCCATTACATTTACGTATACTGAATCACGTGATCAAAGATTTTTTACATCTCAGATGCATCCGATGTGGATTCTCAAACGCAGCAATAGTTTAACTTCTAAAGCCCAGTACTCACAACAGCGGAAAGCGGAAATTTATTTTGCGGAATTGATGGGATTGGTCTAAATAAATTTAAACACCAGATGGCGCAATTTTCTTGCGAATGTTTTAACTTTCTGCGGTAACCGCAAAAAGTTTTTTAGGTTATCTTTTGTTGTTTGTTGTTACTTTGGTTTTTTATATCGTTCATTCATAGTGCACATACAAGTCGTTCATCGTGCTTATATCATTATAAACATTAAAACTTTTTATTTGATTTATACCTTCTTATTTTTTTGCCATATATGAATAATATGATTATTTTGAGGTAAACTAAAGTTTAAATCTAACATTGCATGTATATTGTGAAATGCGCCTTGGTTTTTTCGCTTCTTTTTCTTTAATTTATTTTATAATTTACCTTCTTGATTCATTTTTTTAAAAATTCAATCAAAACTCAAAAGTAAACAAAACGGCAATTGTCGTCTTCGTCTAAATTCTTCGTTTTCGGTGGCATTTTAGGTTAAATTTAACGCGAAATTCGCCATTATGAGTACGATGATTAATTTCTGGCGAATCTTTGGTCACGTGTGAAATTTCGCAATCCGCATTCCGCTGTTCTGAGTACTGAGCTTAATGCATAATATTGAAAAGTTAGAACTTTACAATTTTTTATAGTATTTCAAAGCTAAAACGTAAAATACACTCTTTTATTTTTGTGCCAAAGATTATTTTTAAAAATCGGTAGATTGCCTACAAAATCGGTATATCGGTAGATTTTTATAGATTAATATCAAAATCGGTATATCGGTAGATTTTTATAGATTAATATCAAAATCGGTAGATCTACCGATTAATCGGTAGCAATGGCATCACTGCTTTCCACTTGCAAAAACGTCAGACGTCAGTGTCTGGACCATAGATTAATAATGTGAATTGTGAATAGATGGGAAACTCAATGGTAATATTCTGAGTCGATGTGCTGCCATCTATCAAATTGGAGTGGTACTAAAATTCAATATGGCCGCTTAGCGCGGGCTTTTTGAAATTTAACTTTCTGCTAGTCGCGCAAAAATATAATGAAGAAAATCAAACAAAAAAAAATAAATTGGCAAAATATTTGACTAGTTTCAAATCATAAAACAACCATATTGACTGTTTTGTGATTTGAAACTAGTCAAATATTTTGCCAATTTATTTTTTTTGTTTGATTTTCTTCATTATATTTTTGCATTAATTTCAAACTTGAAATAAAATGCAATTTATTTTTTTTATTACAGTAAATTAACGCCGCATCATATAATTTTTCTATTTAAACATGGAAATAGGTTTTCTGTAACAAACTCGACATATTTAAGTGCTCAAGACCAATATAACAGTTTTGCAACTTGGAGTGGCAATAAGTTTGAAAAAACTGAAGCATCATCCTTTTGGTGTCTTACAATCAAGGCGAATTTGAGGGTGGATAAAATTTGCCATATGCTTATTGAGTCGACTAGTTAAGTTGAGGAACATTTCTTCATCCGATAGTTTTATTGATTTATTTGTACAGCACCTGTAGTTATCAAATTCTTATTCATCATCTGAGCACTGTGATAAATAAATTTAACTTTCGAGCTTAAATTAAACTTACACACGTTTGGACCTTTAAAGATTTTAGGGTGTTTTCTTGTTTGATGTCAATGGCATTAAATCAAATTTTGATATTGATGGCTAAGGCTCAAATATTTCATCGATCTACAGGGTATTTTGAAGGGCCAACATTTTCTTTATAACAATGATCATTTAAAAACTGAAAACAAAAAGAAATTTAAATAACAAACCAATTATTTTAACACTGAATCAAAAACAAGTTTGTAAATATTACTTACCATTGATATGCCAGTACAAGATGCATTTTTCTTAAGACACTTATTACAAATTGTATGTTTATCCTTATTATCGTTGTATGAAGATAAATATAGTAGGGTAACCTTATGGACTTATCATTGGAGGACGATGGATATAGAATGTAGATGGCGACACTGTACTTATATCCAAGTCAGGTCTTTAGGTCATGTCTGTGCTTGAGTATGAATTATAATTTAAAATCTTCTTTTTCATTTATACTTGTCTTCAGTATTGTATTTTTATAGTTACTATTTACTATTTCAAATTATTACAAAAGGGTATTTGAAGGTCACAAAATGCCAAAAAAAATCAATATACAACCAGTTTTT